ACAATTAAATAGTAAAATAAGCTATGCCTCACACATGACTACATTTGCATCTAAGGCACTGTATTTCAGCGACAATTTAATGGGTTTGACACTTTAGAATGCAAGGATACTGGGAAATGGAGACACTATACAACATACTGTCAAATAAAAGACGTGCCATTTTAAGTATTCTGTATACTGAAGTATACTGATTTATCAGTTTCAAAATTTTGAGCAACAAAACGAAAAGTTGAATACTTGATACAAGCTATTTTTAAGATAAAGAAAATATTAACCTGTAATGAATCATCAACATGTAATGTATATCAAGATGTCTGTAAGTCGATAGAAAGAACTCTATGACATCTCGAACCTTTGCCACCCCGACCACTTGTGACCCTCGACGACCCCTAGAACATTTCGACACATTCCAAGTAGACCCTTAAGACACTAAGACTTCTTTAATTGACTAGACATTTCGACCCCTTATTGTATAATGTACACGTTATTTCGGAAAATATACATGAAGACATAATTAAGGAAAGAGTGGTATTTTGATTATTGTATATCAATAGATATTTTGAATTATATAAGAAATCATATTAAGCCGTGCTTTGTGACGCATACTCGTTCTTCAAGTGTATTTTATATTAGAAACAGAAACACACTCATTACATTTAAACAAAAATAAGTAGTATGCATGTATGAATACATATTACTTACTTGCATTGATAGACATCAAAAGCATATGTATTTTGGCTGGGAACAATAATATGTTTCTTAGTTTTGTCAAATATGAAAATAATAATTCGATCGTGATGTGTTGATTTCCTTACAATGTATTGTAATTACTATATTCTTTGAATTGTACAGACTGTGGACTAGTATCATCCCCAGCAAATGGTGAAATACTTTTTAATCAGAACAGTACAATTTATGATTCAAAGGCTACATACATCTGTAATGAAGGCTACAACATGATTGGTCAAGCAAACATAACATGCGAACCTTCAGGAAACTGGGATAACAAGAAAACATATTGCGAGATAAAAGGTTTAAATTCCACTTAAAAATGTACAACAACTTGTAAATTTTAAATTAAATTACTTCATTATCAAACCAAGATAGCAATCTGATAAATTATTTATACTGTTTATAATGAAACGAAATAACAACTTCCCACTTGATATTCATAAAAGCAACAGTCCATGTGTGATTCCTTTCACTCCTTATCTTAGGTGATACTTAAAGACGCATTTGTAGTGTTCATGTAGGAAAAACAGCTATGATATCATATTCTAATATCTTGCAACAATTAGACGCTTTTCAGTAATTATAAGAAACTGTAGAAATCGCCTACAATTGTACACTAAATATAAGAGATTTGAAATATCAGTCAATTACTTTTATTTTTATTCCTCATTCTCATCTCTTTCCAATCAAATCTATCTAATAGAGTGACTTGAGTTTTCTTTTACTCACGTATGTACTTGCCATTAATTTATTTAGTTTTCAAAATGACTTTGCACAAATGTTAACCATAATGACATGATATGTGGAGCGAAATATTTAGATTGCTACCCCAAACTCTAGATCACACATAGAGGTCAAATGTCCTCTTCATAACTTTCAAACTACTGAATGTTTATATTATTGGCACAAAGGATCACCTTCTTCATCTACAGAGGGCAACAACCATTGGCTACCCAAAGGTCATGGTTATAACATAACCGGCAGTCCTGTAATTCTCATCCTAATGATTGATTCGTAAAACATGAAAACTGTAACAAATAATACGTTAGAATCACAATCAAAGTACTAAGTTAAAAAAGGACATATATCTAAAGCCTACGGAACGACAATTTTGCCAAAGCATGATACAACCAAATATGTAAGAAATTTATTGATATATGGACTTCAAGATTAAAATACCCACCGTCACCTAGACCTTGACCTAAATATTCAAACAAAATAAGAAGATCTACGTAGGTTTCTACCTTCTGAATATGGAAGATAATTGGTCACTAACTGACTTTTGTGATATGCAGTTTTGCTTTTGATATGCATGGCACAGCATCAAGGTCATGGTTGGTTAAAGTTCAAGAAGTACACATTCATATCCGCGGTGGAAGAATATTTCGTTGTCCTTCAGACTGCCTTGTGACAATCGTCTCTGGATTTAATGACGTCGGTAAAAATGTCAGAACATGGCATTGCCAACTTGTTTGTTTTATAGAAAACTGTTTGTTTTATTATTTCTATTTGTTTATCAGTTATGTTCATACATGGTTCATATGCTTGGTCATGTTATATGACGTGCAATTTTATACGTTGCTTATCTTAGCTTAATCAATCATTGTATAATAACATTACATGCATATGATAAAGCGATTTGCGTGCAGATTGCAGGACCGCCAATCAACTAAACCTTACAAACGTACGAGTAGCATTAGTAAAACTGCATGATGGCACCAAGTGTAACTTTACAACATATTTAGTATGTGAAAGTTGTTACTATAACAAACATAACACTCAAACATCCGACCTGGCAACAACTACACTAACATGATCTTCGACTATGTAATAATAAAAATTATCACTGGCATCTTTATAACAGATTGTGGAAAAAAATTAAAATAATAAGTTTGACTTATGTTTATGAAATGAATTATATGAACATCATATTTACATAGATGTGTTTACATCGCTCGCAAAAAGATGTGATATTGGTTTTTAAAGATAAAGAGGGGAAAAAACGATGATATATCCACAACTACAAAAACGTTGACGACTTTACCAACCCGCTTAAAGGGAGACATAGGCATAACTTTACTTTCTTCGTTCCGAATTTTTCATTCATCATTTTGGAATTGTCCTCAAAATGTATACACCAGACTGTCACAGCAACAAAACTTTTCTTCTAATAAAGAATCTTCTGGGTCAGGTTAGAGCGTTAAGATTTCACAATAGTTGTCACAATGAACCCTGCAAACGTTAAAGCACATGTCAAATAAATGATTTAGGTTAGTTACTATCATACAATATCCACAATATCTGTTCTTGTAACTGCCAGTGTTTGTTCAAGTCACATGACTTGTTTTGAATATGGAATATGGAATACTCGTTGACTCTGTCTGAGCGTCTCATTGTTCTGCATATGTAGATATATTTACGCATAAACCCCAATATACATAGAATTAAACAGAAATTCATGCTGGGACTTAAAGAAATGTCATTTTAGAGTGGTTTGAGTACATAAGATCATTTAAATATTTTTGTCAATAATTTGCCTGAGAATCCCTTTAAGGAAAAGTAACCATTTAGAATACATCTGTGAGATTATGTTGCTTTATTAGCAATAGCAAATGAGCGGAGCGATGATGCAATAATGTATATAATCATTAACACACATGCATTTACACATGCACGTGCACGCACGTTTTGTAGTATTCTTTAAGGAAACTTAATAGCCTCATCAATATAAAACATCTAAAACAAATGAAAACTACACTCTTAAAGACCGCCAAGACCATTAATTTACATTGCATCAATAGAATATAAAATTAAAGTGTGCTGATTCAGTCTCTGAAAATGTCATTATGTCAGTTATATGATAGACTAGCAGTTTCCATACATAAAAACATTCCTTAATGAATGGTTGCAATCACAGAGAAAGGTGTCGGAATTCATATTTTGCTTTTAACGATATACAAAATAACCGTTATATCAAATATTCTGCGAGCTTCATCCTATAAACGCTGTATTGGTTATTCTTTACTCTTTTCAAAACATGTTAGAATCAGCTGAATTTGTCATTCAAAAATGTGTTCTACTCGAAATTAGAATAATGCCGGGTCTAATCTGGCCTAACATAAACTTAAAATACATTATAAAACCTAAAACGGTCCATATAAAGGTTATGGAAGATTCAATGTGACATAGTTGTGCCATTCTGTGAATAGCGGTGTATAGTCACCCAGATAAAAGAATGTATTTGCCCTAAATTAGAAAGCAACAGGGCAAGCTTATTGTCGTGTCAGATTATAGACTTTTTGGTTCTTTTATGTTTCATTTATTCCATTATACTTACGACTGAAGTTATGTGAATATCTAAACAGATTGTGGATTGCTGATGCCACCGAACGATGGTTTCGTTGTCACTCTGAATGGAACAAAATTTGGTGCATCTTCTGAATTTAGGTGTAATCCTGGATATACTTTGTTCGGAGATTATTTCACAACTTGCTTGTCAAATGGAACAATGGCAAAACTATCATGTCAACTGCATACTAAACAGTATGAAATAATTATAAGTATTATTCAACATTTATTCATAAATATGTATAATTGTAACATACCAGCTCACGAAACATTTACATAATGATCCTTAACTACGGGAATGCTGCATTAAATTAATTTTCTTTGTACCGTTTTTATATCCAAATTTTTTAAACTCTGAATAAGAGAAACGCAATTCCCACTGTAACATCAATTTCCCTGCACATTTTGCAATGTAATGACATAAACAATTTATATAATCCTTCAGAGAAAGCGGTGCCCACAATCTGTTTTAGTTGTGATGGTATGTCGAGTCCTGAATATTGTGACAAAGTTGAACATTGTCAGCCGAATCAGGTATACAAATAATCGAAAACATAACATTTTTATGTTATATATAACAAAAGATATTTCAAAGCTCTTTGAAGACATCAAAGAATTTTCAATTGCTATTTGTTATCTGTCGATACACCAGAAAACTGTTTCATGGAGAAGGGTGCTAGTCTGATGCACTCATATTTAGCATGGTTGAACGATCGTTTATGTTTCACACAAAATCGCTTGATGCAATGTCATTTAAAATACGTTTTTTTGTTTGTACAATACATCATTGAAAATAGACTTAATTTTAAAACTATCGTTAATAAATTTATAAAATTTAATTCAGATATGCTATACTGAATCTTATCAGACTGATTATGGAAAGGTATTTCGATCTGGTTGTATGGATGAACAAGTAAGCATTTGTATATATTTTATTTATAGCATCATAAAATGAAGTTAGATTCGATATCGGCCATGTCCACAGTTTGCAGTATATTGCCGCCTTGTCAGTCATAAGCAATATCAAGCCGAAGACATGAATGTATAGTGTTAAAGTAAAGACGTATAAAAATGCAATAACACGCTTCTTCCAAACATATACAGTAACAAGACACATGGCCTAAACCCAAAAATGAACTAATAAAATTATAAAGAAATACTTCGGAAACTGAGATGACATGCCTCTATTCTTAGATATACCCAGGCAAAAATCCTTATGGGATTGTAATATATGCTAGATATTTTGATGAACACTAACGATTAGTTAATAATTATTCCAGAAATGCCACAAAGAGGAGAACAGTACCTCAAACTCTGTTTGTGTTGAATGCTGTACAAATGAAATGTGTAACAATAAAGGTTGTGGAAATGCAGGTAATTTCGTTCGTCGATTTTTATTTTAATTTTAAATTTCTTGCAAATCCACCAATGTTGAACATGACTTCTTATAGTGTGTTATTTCTCACACTGATAACTTCATATTGCTACTGTCATTTTTACTCGCATTATTTTAGGTGGCTTCTTCGGTAGAAATTACGACTTGTCTCATGCTAGAATGATAGCTTCAGAACAAGAATTTCATTTGTTACTATAAGTCGTCTGCATAAGTTAAAAAAACTCTTCAAAATTCTGAAACAAACATGTATAAACTATGTTATCGAACAGATTTTTTATTGTGAGAAGTTAACGATATATATTATATAAAAACATATTTGAATTGGGGAGGGACAATTTATTTCGTTTAACGATTTGTAGTATATATTGTTCAATTCATGGTCACGAGGTAATACACCAGTTTCGGTAATCCTGCTCTGTTCTGAATATTTTCATTAAAATCTCAGTTCAATTTCTGGGTTGCAGATTTTCCGCCAAGAGAGCATAGGGGTCCAATGTGCTTTGATTGTCAACATATCGGTGATATAAGTTCTTGTCGAAAGGTTACAATGTGTGCATCAGATCAGGTATCAACACCTTAAGAAGTAATAAATCTCAAAAGAAACCAAAGTATTG